TCGTACTTACAAAGTAGCATAAATTCAGTTGATTGATTTTGATAGTATTGAGTTTAAGTTTTCTACATCTTCAAAATACAATTTGATACCTATTTCTCAAATTTCATTGAAATCCTACTATTAGATGTAAAGATATAAAATGTTTTCTAAAAAGTGCACTGCTTTCATATTTCGCTTATTTTCGCCCGCTACACGCGTGAGTCAAGTTCACGACGTTCCCGACGAGGAATAAAACAATGTTTAATATTTTTTCTATGTGGAAATTAACCCTTTGCACTCGAAACCTTTTTCGCTTGCACTAACCAGCGACTCGAGACAATTTCGGCCAAATTAGGAAAACATTTTACATGTACTTTAAAGTTATTTATAAACAAACAAACGTATACAAATAATATTTTACTAATTTATATATTTCTATATCAAAAACAACGAAATTTGAGAAATATTATACTTTATAATTAGTTTTTGTATGACATTTCGTAAAACAATACCCAAAATGCATCTTAGGTTTGTTTATCAGGACACGTATCACAATAATATGTCACTTCCGGCCTACCTCCAGACTTATTAAGATCAGAGCAAATCTTACAGTCCCTTTTCGGCCCTTTAAGTATTATCTTTAAATATATCTTTAAAAAAATATCTTATCAAACATCGTAAATAAGCAGATAGAGTAACAAAAGACTTCAAATCAGCCGGGCGCCGTATCAGCGCCGTTCGAGTTGCCACGTAAATCTGCCGGGCGATTCAGTGCCGTTCGAGTGCAAAGGATTAATACTTTTTCAAATTGTCTTAAAATAAGTAGGAAGTATTCTATTAAAAAAAACAAAAAACGAAGTTGACCTTGAAATCTCATAAAAAGGAAATGACTTTGAGTAAAAATTCTTTTAAACATTAGATTCCCCCCTCCCTACAATAATACAACATTTCATCTGTATATATAAAAATTATGTTTTATGTGAAAACATAAATAAAAAGAAAGTTGAACCAATCGAATTAAAAATAAATATATTGTTGTTTAACACTAGATATATCAGACCAGTCATTTTAACTGGTCGGGCCATTTTGATTCAAAATTTCTACTTCATGTAACATTTGAGTTCTGTAAATAATTAAGCATTTTGTTATTTTTAAGAGTAAATAAAGACTGGAAGTCTCAAAAAGCATTTTCTTTATACGAAAGTCATTTTGACTAGTATGGTAGAAATAGGTATATTGAAAATGGTGGTATATCTAGTGTTAAAATATAAATTTATAACATTTTTTTTTCTCGTATTATTTGTTATAATATATTTATTAAGTTAAGACTTTATATATTATTTTCCAATTAAAAGTATTTTAAAAATTTTACCATTTCTAATCAATAACGAATGTTTAAAAATAACGCGTTTATCTGTTATTTAATTTGATATAAATAAAATTACCATAAAATAACGTATTATTAGTTAAACCCGGTATATAGAGCTCAAAAGGTTAAAAAACATTTTTCATTTTTTTTTTTCTTAATAAATTTACTCGATACTCTTAAAGATTGATTTCTTTAAACATACACGAGACACCTAAAAAATAGCAAGAAATAAGGCAACGTATTTATAAAAAAAAAAAAATTTGTTTTGTTTAAAATTTTATCCATCGTGCATTGATTCTATAATAATAAATTTTAACAGAAATCTATTTCATTCAAAGCTCCTTTTTTTTATCCCTTTTTTCTTTTTCTTTTTTTCTTAGAATCGAGCAATAATCTTTCAATTTTGTAACAAACAACGTGTAACTGAATGGATCACACTAATTACGCTTTTTATATTTGCGTAATTAGATTTTAATAAGTTTCTTTAGATATATATGAGGAAAAACACTCCCATAACATATCCATAGACTCATTACAAGATTAATAACGCTAAAAAACTATAACGAATCTGTATATTCTAAAGAAAGAACTTCTTGTAATGAAAAAAATTACAACACGCACAAATCTATGCATACATACACACATATGTATGTATGTATATATGGATGTATGTATGTGTGTGTGTGTGTATAAAGTAAAAAAAGAAAAAACATATCAATTAAACTCTTCAAATATATACATAGAAAAAAATGAATCAAAAAAATTCATTTTCTTACATCTCATTTCTATTACTTACAAAATAGTAACCGCAATTTCTTCGATAAGAACTTTTACCGAAACAAAATAATTGTTGCGAAGTAAAACTCATCGTATTAATAATTACTTTCGCCACGTTTTCTCTATTTGACTTTTTACTAATTGCAATTGTAAAAATATCATATAAAATATAATAAAATTTAAACGAATTAAAAATGAGAATGTAATAATTGAATAAATAACGGATTGCTATAGTCTAATGGCACAACTTTTGTTTACAAAAAAAAATATATATATATTTAAAAAAATCCTTTTTTTAACTATAAAAAAAAACAAACATTGCAATAATTAATAAAACATCAAGAGAAAAAATCAACATGATTGTGTCTAAAAATGAAAAAATTCTTTGAAAAATATCATATAATTTGGCAAGCGAATGAATAATCCATGACAGTATTTATTTAACTGTAACCAAATTGTACTTTGCGACATTGGCAAAGCCATTTAATAATTCGAGCATTTCGTTCAACGATACTTGGTGGATCGTTGACTCTTTGATTAGAATCGTCATTACCCATGCCAATGCTACAATTATTATTCTGCCATTGACTACCCTGATTTGTCTGATTATTTCCAATCCATGAATAAAGACCTAACGCAGAGTCGACCGAGCTAACGCTGTCGAAGAATACGGGCGACGAAGATTTCGAATCGGGTTCGGTGATAAGTTGAAAATTATCCGAATCTAAACCCAAACGATCAAAGAAATTTTCCAATTGTGTCACCGAGCGCGGTGCTCGTGCTGACAATTTGCTCGTACGACCATTATCTTGTCTCCAATAACGATCACTTATATCTGATTTAGATCTTAAAATTTGCCTACCACGTCCTTCTTTCCAGCCATCTGAGAATCTATTAAGAGAAAATAAATATTATTTGTTGAACCTTTGAAGAATAAAATTAAAAATATACATGGTTCGTCTAAAAAGTTCAGTGAATGGTCCCATATTATACAAACCGCGCTGGCAAGGATGAGGTGCCCGCGCATACACATTGAAAGACATGTCAACAAATGCTTCCTATCGTGCAAAGCACTGCAGTGAAGCGGTGGTACCGCTGCTAACAGGGTCAGTGTGAGAACTCGTGTCATTGCAATATGAAGCGCAAAATGGAGCAAAATGCTCAACTTTCTCGCTAGACGCAAGGTCACTGTGCTTCCACACTCTCCTTATTCTCCAGATTTAGCGCCGGCAGACTTCTTTCTGTTTCCCCGCCTTCAATTAGCCCTGAAAGGCTTACGCTTCGCAACGGTTTTGGAGATCGTGAGCGTGACTGCAGTGCTTCGAGCGATACCACAAGAAACGTTTGCTGACAGTTTCCAACAGCTGTACAATCGATGTCAGAAGTGCATTGTAGCCAATGGCGATTACTTTGAAGGCCAGTAAAGGTTTTTTTTGTAACTATTGTTTCTTTTATTTCCTGAGACCATTCACCGAACTTTTTAGATGCTCCATGTATAACATAATATAATATAGGATTTTCAGGTCAAGATAACAATTTTTCATTTCAAAAGAACAATTAAAATACAGTTAGAAATAAAAAATAATGAATGATAATTTAAAAAACTAATTCACATAATGTGCTATGTTAATTTTTAAAATTTATGTGCAATCATATTTAAAACAGTATTTATGGAATTAAAAATTCAGAAAATAATAATCTTTAAAAATAAATAAATTTTATTAAAAAAATGCGTTTTGGATTTACGTCAGCTACACCACTGTCAGTATTTTTGAAATTTAATAAAACAAAATTAGAAAAAGATCTTCATAAAAAAATAAAACGTATATTTATATACGTTGTTAACCAATGGCCTTGTACCAATGATAAAACTATTTATCATTAATATCATCGGTATTTATTTTTAGTTACTGAATTCTTCAATGGTTAGATTTAAAGGGGGTGATTCACCCCTTAAGGGGTAACACCACAATAGAGCCTGAAAAAAAGCCTTTTTTTGGAAATTTTTGTTGTGAAAACTAAGTGAGGAATAGAATTTATTTTTTGAGGGTTGGTTAATCATATATTGAACTATGTAAAAAAATATTTTTATTGATTTTAGATAGGAAATGGCGTCGGTATTCGCGACTGAACAAAACCCTGTTTTTTTTTTTTTTTTGCTAAATCAGACGGACTTGTACCTGGACAACTATGAGTCCTAGAATAAAAACCAAAAGAAATTCTTAATCTATGTACTATTATCTTGAGAAGTAAATACGGATTTTTCCTCAAGTCAAATTTTGTGAAAATGGCACAATTTTAAATTAAAAAATCGACTTTTCAGCGAAAAAAAATGTAGAAAATTGTTTATAAAATTAAAAGTTTACATTCAATTAAAAATCGGATATGTACTTATGTAGAAACACAACTATCAAACTATCTTCAAAATTTCAAGTCAATCGGTTAAATGATGCTTGAGTTCTGAGTCTGTCCAGTTTTAAAAATGTAGTTTCGAGAAAAACGCGTTTAAAGTTTTGTTATCACTATTCGAAGCGCTTTGAGGCACTTTGTAAAAATAAAATTTTGCCATGTTAAAAATTTTATTTTTGCTTTGGGACCAAGTGCATAATGTTTTTAGATGTCTAAAGTACACTTTAAGCTAAAAAACAAAAAATCGATTTTTTGAAAATTCTATAGTGGTGTTACCCCTTAACAAATTGGACAATGTTAACACTTAGCCGACCGAACGCCCCACAGAGACCCCTACAGTTTCCACCGCGCTCGGAAAAGCCAAATTGCCCTTTCCACCGCGCATTTTTCTAAAATAGTGTTTTAGAAATTAATTTTATGGCTGGCAAAGACTCCATCGGAAATCCCGAAAATAAAGAGCCGTAATAATGAGCAATAAAAGATTTCAAAAATTGATGCATTTAATTATATGTTGTATCCTATATAAATAAGCTCTATAGAGAAAAAAGCGTTCCTCAGATGAAAAGGGTAGATCTACTCGAGCGGTCGGTAACCGACTAGCTTGAAAAAGTGTAGATCTACCCGAGCGGTCGGCAACCGACTAGTTTGGAAAAGGGTAGATCTACCCGAGCGGTCGGCTAAGTGTTAAGACTAGATATACCACCATTTTCAGTATACTTATTTTTACTACACTAATCAAAATGACAAACAAAACAAAAAATGTTTAGCAATAATAATTTTAATAGATAAATGGATTTATAGACATTTTTAAATAACAAAACTCTTAATTATTTACAGAACTCAAATGTTACATGAAGTAGAAATTTTGAATTAAAATGGCCCGACCAGTCAAAATGACTGGTCTAGTATATCTAGTGTTAATAACGAATTAAAAATTATTATTTTGTGAATTTAATTCCATTAATACTGTTTTAAATATGATTGTACATAAATTTTAAAAATTAACAAAGCACTTTATGTGAATTAGTTTTTTAAATTATCATTCATTATTTTATTTCTAACTTTTTTTTCAATTGTTATTTTGAAATGAAAAAATGTTCATTTGAAATGAAAGAAAAGTTTAATTTGAAATGAAAAATTATTATCTTAATCTGAAAAACCTATATATAATAAAAATTTATTAATATATATTAACAAATTATATAGTCATAAATAACTTCCGTTTTTTATGAAACACAGAATGGCGTTTCTCTCTTTGCATCTATTGAACCGTATCTATTGGATTTTGCTCCAATATTACTTTTAAAAGGTTCGTCAAAGTCGGAAAGACGTCCTACCACTCGGTTTGTCTTTTAAGGTCGTATCTCCAGAATGGAATTTTACAAACCAATTTCTAACTGCCCTATCAGTTATCAGTCTTACACTGTATACGCTACATATTTTTTCAGCTGCCACCTTAACACACTATCGGCAGGAAGGGTATTAACACACTATCGTCGGGAACGTCGTGAGCTTGACTCACGCGTGTAGCGGACGAAAATGAGTGAAATATGAAAACAGTGCACTTTTTAGAAAACATGTTATATCTTCACATCTAATAGTAGGATTTCAATGAAATTTGAAAAATAGATATCAAATTGTATTTTGAAGATGTAGAAAA